AAAGGCGTGATGTTATGTTATTCAGGATTTGAGGCTTTCCCCAAACAAAATAGCAGAAATACGTACTCTGTTTATTTATATAGGCGTTTCGTTACCGCATCAACCGTTTTATATTTAAGTACTTCGCTTGCCTGACAATCTTTGTACACGTAACTTCGTTCTAAGTTCTGAGTTTACTTTTATTGGGACCATTAAATCCTCTAAATTTGTAACAACATTTACATTACCTATCCAGGTCCCTGTTATTACTAAGACCTATTCTAGTATTTACATAATTACCATTCAAGTTTCTACGTATTAAATACATATATTTTTTATATTTGATGGGCCGACATTTGACCACTATCTCGCCTGGTGGTAAGCGACGATGCGGTCTACGATGGAGCACGATAGTCTATTAGGCAAAGGATAATCTATACGACTGATTCTATTTATAGTCTCTGCCTACTCCCATGTGAAACAGGTGTGAGGTTATGTATGTATGATTCTATCCTGCTCGAAATTCGGCAATAACTCAAAAACAAGCATCTAACAAACACAATAAAAACAAAAATCATCGCAGCTAACAAATAACCATATTTTTGCAAACCCATTCGACGTACCTCCTCCCTCCTTGAAGATATGCGTTCTAAATGACTTTCCACACAGTCTATAAATACTCCTAGCGTTTCCAAACCTAATAGGCTGTTTGGTGTATCATAAGTGGGCCAAAATCGTCCCAAGATCATCCCCACCCCATCCATCATTTAGGAGACATATTGTCTCCACGAGGGGGTTGCGTCTAGGGGATGTAGAATGTTTTCTAAGACGTTGAATTTTTGAGATATTACGCAAAATAATACATTTTCGAAATTTCATTTGAATGTTATAATACAAATGACTTTTCATTTATAAATTGTAATTGCTCAGGGATGTTATTTATTTGGGTTGAAGATAGTATTTGAAAAATAAAAGACAATATTGTATTCAAAGTGTATTCAAAACTTACATGGACACAAAATTATGCAGTTTCTATCACAAACACAGAATACCAAACAAAATAAAAATACTGTCAAAGTGTAAAATAAAATTAAATGGTTGACAATTATGTATTTTCGTAACACACACACATTTGATCCCAAAAAGAAAACAATTGTAACATTTCTGTGTAATACTGAATTAAACAACATACATACGACATCGGTAATCACTGAAAAAATAATACAAATAATGTTAAATACTTTCAGCATCCTAAAGACGGAATTTTATACAAACCACCCACAATAATAGGCACCTAATATTAAATACTAATACTAAATGGAATTGGCAAATTGAAATTACAATTTTAAAGGAAAATTTTGAGTACACATTCGAACCTAGTTTTTTTTTCACATCTACACATTAATTATACGATGAAAGTGTAATATTTGGTGTATTCCCGTGGCGGCTGCGCTTTTATATACGTCTGTAAAGGTATAATTAATTTTATTTTTTTTTAAACTTGGACTGTGAGTTTAAACCTTTGTAGTCAGAAGGCCAATTCTTTAAAGATTAGTATTGTATAGTCATAAGAGTAACACCGAAAGTATGGAAAGTACTTTTTTTTTTAAGGGGGAAAATCATCGAATGACTGCTCCCGCCTGGGTGAGGCGGAAGGGAGTGTCAGACTCTTACTGACTAAAAACCACCCCGTTCCTTCTCCTGCACGTCGAACCGGAGCCTCGGTTACCCGTTAGGTTCTCCGCGACATGGAAAGTACTACGACCAATTCAAATATAGAACAAATCTTTATCAGCATCTAGATTCAATAGCACCTCCTTCTACGACTTTTAGGGATCTCCACTCAAGCCAGCCAATTAAGGCAAGAATGAGATGGGAAACCTGTTCCTCGTCAGCGTTCGCTCCGATTAATTGGAGATGAAGAACAAGAATTTTCCCTGGAGTCATAGTTGTTATATGTCTAGTAGTAAGAGGACTACGGGTATAATACACCAAATATCTACAATATTATGAGAATAAATAGCAAATGGTTTAAACATTATTATTATTATTATAAGTACTACTGTGATAAGACTAGAACGTTACAAGCCCGTAGACATACTGTAAAAGAATGGCATAAAATAAGTATTTTTACTGTAAACAAGTAAACAGCCCATACGAGTGTTGTCTATTCGAATTCATGTACAGTTGACTATTTAATAATAATTCAATACGTTTTGTTACACGAAATGAATATAATTCAATTATGTCTATGGCGCAGTAATTTAATAAACAAATACTGGGCTGCCTCGATGCTAAACGTTTGTTTGTCATTCTTGAGATAATAAATATATTGAATTTTGAAAATAGGGTTAACTTGAGCCTATTTCATTAATTTCAGTTAAACTTTTAAATTACTCAAACTTTTGTTGCAAAACTCCTTTTAAACTTTATCAATAGTCAACTGTTTTGTGAAAGTAATAGAGCTTGCCAGAGTGAAATAAAATTCGAATATAATTGATTATAAATTTTGAAATGACAATGTACGATAAAAATAATAATTAGATTTTTTCGTGACAATAATAATAAGAGATGGGCTTAAGTAATACACATTAAAGTAGGTATGACATTACATCTACTTGACACATTTTTTATGAAATATTTTAAGTATAGTATGAGTAAAAAGTATGTACTTATACGTCGATAAAAATGCAAGAAAACACCAATTTGCAGGGACACCGGCAGTATCATAATTCTACATAGTCTTGTAGAAGCAATGCGAACGTAAAAAAACACAGATTTCATTTGCAAATCATAAGTAGAATCATGAACTGAAACACAGTCATTCTCTTCTATCTTTACAAACGTTTCGGATTTTTACCTATAATGTGTTTATAACACAAATTCCACAATATCACATCGAAACTAGACCAACTATCTGCTGATCATACATTTTTAATCCGCGCGGGAATCGAAACTGCGACGCGTTGCGCAGCAGTCGGTCGTCTAGCCACTGTGCCAACCGTGCAGTTCAGTCCATTTATGATCAAGTCATAACTATAATCTACGGTTATAGTAGAAAATTGAGCAATAGACTGATAATCGACAAATTAAAATTATTAAAACATTACAAACCTTCTTTGTTAAAACCTATCGTCAAAAATACTAAATAAATTAAAATAAAAAGCTTACTCACATAACTGTTCGATAAGAAGTACAACAATGACTGTGCGGCATCGGTCCCTAAGCTTGAATGTTAAGATTATGAGCCCCGGTCGCAGCTCCAAACTAGTCGAGTACGCTCAAACAGTTACACGTGAGTTAACCGTATATACTATTTATTTTAATACCAATGAAATCATATTTCGTTGTTTACATTAAAAACTAATTCTAACATAAATCCCATATTTACAAATTATAACTAAAATAAATTAATAGACACACTATTGGTAACACACAACACATAATTCACTTAAAGTAATTAAGTCGGTAAGTAATCAATAATAAAAATGACCATATTTTCACCCGTATTAAATCAAAGAAAAAAAAAGGAGCTCACAGCAGATTATTATTACGACATATATAAACCCAGTGGACACCGACGGACGCGCGGCGAAGTTACTGACAATAAATCAGTTAAAAATAAACCTTAATTACTTTGGCATACGGATGAAAATAGCATGACAAAGAAGTTTAAAAACGAGCGCCTCTTACTGATTACCGTTTTTATTGGTATGCCATCGTAGTCCAGGTTTAATTTAAATTGATTTATTCTTAGTATCTTTCTCACTTCCGTCGGTGTGCGCCGGGCCATAGAAAACTTACAATTAATTCCTATTGTTGTCCTTATCTTTTTCTTGTTATAAGAAAGAGATGGAAACAATAGTTTAGTTCGGTAATACAGACTACAGTAAAATTGATTAAATGCTGATTATTATTATTACACTTATAATTTAAAATTGTATGAAAACGTCAATTCGTGACATAGTCGTGGTTATCAATACTCATTCCTTCTCTGTTTAAGAAGAAAATGAGAGATACAAAGTATATTTCAAATACTCCATTCCTTTGTGATAATCAGTTAAATGAAAATTGACTTTTTGATTTTAATTCCATTCTTATGTCAATGCAATACAGTTCAAATTACGATAAAATTGTTCATGCCTTTTTGATAAAAATTACGATCTTACTTAGGCACAAGGAATGCCTTATGTTAATGTAATAGAGCTCAAAGTTACTTGAATAGATTATGACCAAAGCTTCTTTAATTATGTTGTATTTGTTTTACGAATTTAGAACAATCTTTATAGCAATGGAGTTACATTTAAACTTTCTTGAATTTTATCAACGGAGAGAAAAATAACTATAAAATAAGTATTTAACCCGTCGAGCGTCCGCGTTCCTTATGAGCCAACGGGTGCACACGTGACTTTTCGAGCATTTTTTCTTATGATCCACCGGGTGCTCATAAGAACGCTCGAGGGGTTAATCTTGAGGAAGGGTAATTCTTTGAAAAACTTTAACATTATTTAAGTAGCCATTATCCCAGTTTATTGAGCATGTTATTCCCGTACTCGAGAGACGTTAAATTATTATTATTCTTTAGTAACGATTTTATTTCTAAAACAATTGTTTTAGAAATAAAATCGTTACTAAAGAACTAGTAATTACTAAAGAACTTATTTTTCTTTATAATTTTCTCTCGTGTCGTGAGTGCGTTTACAAACATACAATTTCTCACACACATGACGCCTGAACCCGGAAAAATATGTCACAGGATCACACAAAAAGTTGTTCTGTGCGGGAATCGAATCCGCGACACTTAACACGGCAGTCAGTTGGCCAGCTGCCGCACCAATAGTGCAGTAAGTAACGATTAGATGACGCTGAGCACGGCGGTAAATATCTTTATCGTAATTAATATTTTAATGGAATGCTTAATAGCTGTGATACGCTTCATTTTTGAAAGGTCAGAATTTTTTACTCTGTGTTTATTTGTGTTAAGTGTTTTTTAAAGAATCACCCTCATTGAAAGAGGTAGTTTAAAGTCGGGCCTGAAACTGTTTGTTGCAAACTACTTTACTGTTATTATAGTCTACAGGAATTACGTGTAAAACAGACACAGCCAGATTTATAGACTTTTCCAAATTAAAATGTACCTTTTCATATGATATGTTGTCTCTGTAACAAAGAAAAATATTTATTTATTTATTTATTTACTTACTTACATTTACCATTACAGGATGACCCAATGCGATAAATGCGAACTATTTAATCCTGACTTATTGCTTATAACTAATTACAAACAAAGCATTCCTTGTGAATTCACTCAGAGAACAGTAGAATAAGTCCGTCTCACTCGCTATGAGGTTATCAATATATCGCTCGCTCGCTATGAATATATCATGTTATATGTCAATTTGGTCAGAAACATAATAAAGTCGACTAAAATTTAAATAGATAATCAAATTTTAATTAAATCATCATCATTATAATCGACCACAAGACGTTATTAATAAAAGTTCTAATTGTAATTTTAATTTATTTTTGTTCTGAATACACATCACACCCAGATTCGGAAACAAATTGTGGATCACACTGAGTTGCTTCGTGCGGGAATCGAACCCGTTACACGTTGCACGATAGCCGTTAAACGTTGCACCAAACTTTAGGTTTTTCTACTGTGTCATGGGTGCGTTTACAAACATACAATTTCACATACACATGACACCCAGACCCGAAACAACAATTTGTGGATCACACAAAGAGTTGCTAAGTGCGGGAATCGAACCCGCTACCAGTTGCACGGCAGCCAGTTGCCCAGCCACCGCACCAACCGTGCAGTCAATTGTAATTAATATGAATATTTACCCTCGATGTTTAATGAGAGCCCCAATGTCAGCGAGTCCCCTGAGACAATTGCGTGCCACATCTAAGCTGAGACTGTACGGGTGGCCGAGCCACTTCCCCGCTTGAGGCTGGATCCGTTCCTCCACTTTACGTTGGATTATCTTCACCGCCTCCGCCTCAACGATCGGCCCTTCTTGCTGAAAGTAAATTGCAAGTTAAACAACATGAAACACAATATTAATTAATCCTAGAAGTTATTACAAAGAGTTTCTCAGTATTTTCACGTGAGTAGACTGACTTTTAGGTTAAGTTATTACAATTTCTAGATTTTTGGAGCGAGCACTTAGCTTTACACAGACATTTAAATTTGCATACTTCAAAAGCATTGTTGCGGCGCCTAGCGCCTTTCCAATAGCAAACCACAACTACATGTATGATTGCCAGTTTAACAATCAGGCGTCGCGGAGCATGTTAAAATTGCTAGAAGGGTAGCCATTCATTCTCTCAGCGTCCGCTCCACTGTTAACACCCTATTTTAATTATATGTTCTTTTATTGTAAAAAAAGGGCTTTTTATTGCTCCATTGTGTACCCAAATATACATAATGGTGGCCCATGAGGGGAACTAACGCGTAAAATCAACAAAATTCGTAAATCGCAAAAGAAATCAGCACGAAAGAGTTGAAGAAGAAACGTACGTTGGCGATTTGAAAATTAAATTTATGGTGTGAAGAAGGACAAGTAGCAAGGATCGTCGAGATAAAGGCAGCACATCACGGCGAGCAGTAGTGCAGCAAAAGCAGTACCTTGTGCAGTGAAATCATCTAAAGATAAGTGCCCTTCCTTGACCTTCCCTTTGTCCTTTAATACCAACGTTCCAAGCATCCAAAATCATCCAACTGTTAAAGAGTGGCCTATCTATTGTGCGGATAATGTCATTATAAATCAAATTTAATCAATTCTTTTTAAATTTAAAGTTTTCCACTTATTTTACGTATTTAAAATCGTTTGTTTGTCTACCTACTCAAAAAAAAATTATGAAATGGAATGAAAATGAAAAAATTGTCCACCTACTTTAAATCTGCTTAGTCATAGCCCAATTATAATACCATTAAATTAAACATTCCAGGTGTTTTATCAGCCACTAGCAATCATTTGTCGACTGTGCATCACTGCGCTGCATTGTCATCAGCTGTTGCGAACCGGTTTCTTATCTACGGGCGCTCGCCGGCGAAACGAGGAGCGTGAGCTTTATACAATTTATTTATTACATAGTTGCATTCTATTGATTTAAGTTCGTGCTCAGTATTGTTTGAACGTTACTTAAATAACTTCACGATGCCTAGTGACTCGGGAGATAAAGTTTTAAGACAATTAATTACAAAGCGATCGTCCGCAAAGGGTCAGATCACTAAATTTAAAAATTATCTCAGCACTTTAGAATGCAAAACAGAATTGAATGATATTGAACTAACGGAATTAAGACTTAAGTTAGCTAAATTTGAAGCATTGTCGATTCGAGTTGATGATTTGCAAGGTGAAATTGAGGTTTTGAATCCTAACAATATTGACGACGAAATTGAAGAACGCGAAACTATGGAACGAGATATTGTCATTAACATTGCCACCGCCAAAACAGTGTTGGAAAAATTTACAAATACATTAGAATGTGAACAAAGGCGTGGTTCCGTTATAGATAGTTCTTGTTTTATGGATCATCAAGAGTTTGGGTTGAAACTACCTCAAATAAAAATTGCTAAATTTGACGGTACATATTTCCGATGGCTGGAGTTCCGTGATACGTTTGAGAGCCTGATACACAAAAATGGTCGTCTTTCAAACATTCATAAGTTTCATTATTTAAATTCATATTTAGAAGGTGATGCGGCTAGAATAATTTCCAATTTGGAAGTGTCCTCCGTTAATTATAGCGAAGCCTGGAAATTAATCTGTAATCGGTACAACAACAAGAGACTTTTAATTAACCAGCACTTAAATGCACTATTTAGCGTTAAGCAACTTCCGCGCGAGTCTGAACGGTCGCTGAGGTTTTTAATAGATCATGTTACGAAGCATTTGCGGGCATTGACCAGCTTAGGACAACCAACAGATAAGTGGGATATACTACTCATCTTTATTTTATGTTCAAAATTAGACAGTAACACATTAACTAAATGGGAAGAATTCCGCAACACATTAGAAGCTGATGTACCTACTTTAGACAATTTCTTTAAATTCCTTACCGATCGCGCGGATGTGTTAGAATCGTTGAGTCGAAATAAAAACGACAACGTGCCGTCTAGAGTCATGCAATCTAATACGCGCACCACTTGCAATCACAACAATAATTATAAGCAAACAAACAATGTTACCAAAACATTTGCCAGTTCTAATATTAAAACTAATAAATCAAATATATTCTCTTGTATAATCTGCAACGAAAACCACAAAATATATGATTGCCCTACATTTAAGGCAATGAGCATCGACGGAAGGTTAAGTGAGGTAAACAAATACAAATTATGCAACAATTGTCTTAGGCAAGGTCACCCGGCTAGTGAATGCCGTATGGGACCCTGCCGCGAATGCAAAAAACGACATAATAGTTTACTCCACCGTCCAAATACCTCTGTAAATAATTGCATTTCAATTGATGATTCCAGCGAATTATTCGTTAACTTTAGTAAACAGAAGTCAAATCAAATATTACTATCTACAGCTGTCATTGAGGTAATAAATCCAATTACACAACAAAGCGAAAGGGCTCGTGCACTGCTAGATTGCGGCAGCCAGTCATCATTCATTTCAAAGTCACTAAAGGAAAGAATTGCTCTAAATTCGAACCCTATTGACTCACTAAAGGTCATAGGGATCGGCAATAATATTTCCACTCGTATAACGGAAAGTTGTAACTTACAAATAAAATCACTAAATAGCAAATTCATTACAGATTTATGCTGTCTTGTATTAAATGATCTGACGGGTAATTTGCCAAAGTACCCTGTCAACATTACAAAACTAAATTGGCCTAATAGTATTTTATTAGCGGATCCTAAATTTTATGAACCAGCTTCTGTGGATATTCTAATTGGTGCTGACTTATTTTGGGATATCTTGGGCAATGAACAAGTATCACTTGGTCCCAGCTATCCAAAGTTGAGAAACACTCAATTGGGATGGATAGTGGCAGGTGCTATTAATCTAACTAATATTAATAAACAGACCAGCTGCAATTATTTTATGGTTGACACTCCTAAAGACAATAGTCTTGATACCGCACTCACCAAATTCTGGGAGTTAGAAGAATTGCCTGCTAAAAGAATTGTGAGTGAGAAGGACAAGGCTTGTGAAATTCATTTCATTAAAAATACATATAAAAATAAATCAGGTAGATTCGTAGTTAGATTGCCCTTGATAGATAGTAGTGACTGCCTTGGAGATACATCTAAATTAGCTAGAAAACGTTTACATTATTTGGAAAAAAGATTTAGAAGTAAACCTTTATTAAAAGGCGAATACAAAAATTTCATCAATGAGTATGCCCAATTGGGGCATCTTTCCCCGGCAGCGGATACACAAGGTACACTCTATTATCTATGCCATCACGCTGTCCTTAAACAAGATAGTGAGTCTACTAAATTGCGAGTAGTGTTTGACGGCTCGGCACCCTCATCTTCTGGCTATGCTCTAAATGACATCTTGTTAGCAGGTCCAAATATTCAAGACTCTCTTTTTGCCATTTTGGTACGCGCGCGACAATACAAATTTCTACTTACTGGAGACATAGAAAAAATGTATCGACAAATTCTGGTAGACGAAAGGGATCGCAATTTGCAGCGTATTTTATGGCGGGATGATGAGTCCCAGCCCATCAGAGATTTCACGTTAAACACTGTAACTTACGGTACGGCAAGCGCTAGTTTTCTCAGCACTCGGTGTCTGTGGCAGGTGGGTGAAGAGCAAAGTGATCCACTTATCAAGGACATTATTCAAAAGGATTTCTACGTGGATGACCTAATAACCGGAGCCAACAACGAGCAACACTTGCATTATATTCAGTGTTCCGTTGCAAGGGCACTTAAAAATAATTGTTTTAATCTAAGAAAATACAAGAGTAATAATACGTCAGTATTTGACAATCTTGAAACAGACAAAAACGAAAGCTTAACGATTAGTGAAACATCAAGCACTCTTGGTCTTGGATGGAAACCGTCCAGTGACGCAATATATTTTCCAATAAAACATGTTTCGTCGGATAATAAATCAGTTGTCGTGACAAAACGGTCAATTATGTCAAATACTTTCAAGATATTTGATCCCTTAGGTCTTTTGAGCCCGGTTGTGATAAAACCGAAAATTATCTTACAGAATATCTGGCGACTAAAGCTAGACTGGGATCAACCGGTTCCGGATGAAATAAGGGATGATTGGTATAACTTTACAACAAATTTACACTTTGTGTCGGGCTTTGTCATTCCTAGATGGGTTTTGATTGACGAATCGACCACAGTGGAATTGCATTCGTTTAGTGACGCTTCGCAGTCGGCTTATGGAGCATGTATCTATGTAAAGTCGTTCAATAGTAATAATCAATGTAGTGTCAAATTGTTGTGTGCTAAATCTAAAGTGTCGCCGTTAAAGCCCACCACGATTCCACGTCTAGAATTATGCGCCGCGCTACTTGCTGCTAAACTTTGCAAGTCTGTGTTAGAGTCATTACGATACAAACCGACTAGAGTAATACACTGGTGCGATTCTAGTGTAGTAATAGGTTGGATTAATAGTGACTTAACTAAAGTTAAAACCTTCGTACTAACCGTGTAAGCGAAATCGTAGACATGACGGTCCCATCTGCTTGGCGATATGTACCCACTGACGCTAACCCAGCTGATTTAATATCGAGAGGTATTAGTCCTAAAATTTTACCGACTATGGAATTGTGGTGGTCCGGCCCAAATTTCTTAATGAAAGATGAATCCGAATGGCCTATTTTGGATATTAATAAATTAAGTAACTTACCTGAGACAAAGGCACACACAATAGTAATAGACGAATCTATAATAATATTCGACAATTATTCATCATTTACAAAGCTGCAAAGGGTACTAGCATTCGTTAAAAGATTTATACACAATTTAAAACATTCTGAAGATAAACGATTAGGTATCTTATCAACGGATGAGCTGCGTGATTCGTTTCATCACTTTGTATTATAGCTCAACGTGAGTCATTCAGTAAAGAAATGATATATTGTCAAAAGGGAAAGCACTGCCAACAAAAAGCAAAATTTTGGCCCTTTCCCCCTTTCTTGCCGAAAATTTAATGCGGGTAGGTGGACGCCTGGATGCCTCAATCTACTCGTATGAAAAGAAACATCCTATATTGTTGCATGCTAGGCATAGGCTTACAAAATTGTACTTTGAAAAGGAGCACATAAACGCCATGCATGCTGGCCCCCAGCTTCTGCTAGCCACAGTAAGGGAAGTGGTATGGCCAGTGGGTGGCAGACTTTTGGCGAGACGCACAGTAAACAACTGTGTGCGGTGTAGAAGATTAAGAGGCAAACTTTTATGCCCAAAAATGGGTGAATTGCCGTCACAACGTGTGAATCCGGACTTTCCATTCTTATCTGTAGGTCTAGATTTTGCTGGCCCCTTTTTTGTTCTAAATCGCAAGGGCCGCGGAAGTCGCTTAATTAAATGCTATTTGTGTATTTTCGTGTGTTTGCGCTATAAATGTGTCCACTTCGAAGCAGTTAGCGATTTAACTAAACGCGTTTATCATGACCCTCAGACGATTTATCGCGCGCAGAGGCAAGCCATTGGAAGTGTTTAGCGACAACGGCCGCAACTTCGTAGCCGCCGCGAAAGAAGTAGGGAGCTTTATTCAACAAAATAAAGAGCCACTATTTGACTTTGCAAGTCAGCAGGGAATCAAATTTAAATTCACACCAGCTTACGCTCCTCATTTCGGCGGAATTTGGGAAGCCGGAGTTAAATCCGCTAAACATCACCTACGTCGAGTGATGGGCAATAGTCATTTAACGTTCGAAGAGATTTCGACATTATTTGCGCAAGTGGAGGCGATTCTTAACAGTCGTCCCTTGTGTCCCTTGTCATCCTCTCCTAACGACCTCCTCTCCCTTTCTCCAGGGCACTTCATCATCGGGAGACCACTGACGGCACTGCCACCACTTGCATTGGCGGACAATCATGACAGCCAGAGGAAACGATACGACCATCTCGAATCGATAAGACACCACTTTTGGAGAAGATGGCAAAAGGAATACATATCGGAACTGCAGCAGAGAACTAAATGGAAAAGCAATACTGCACAGCTACATATAGGAGACATGGTTCTCATATCCGAAGACAACACGCCGCCATTATGCTGGCGACTGGGTCGAGTTCTGCGGCTGATACCTGGTCCAGACGGAATAGCCAGGGTTGCTGATATCCAAACAATGAAGGGCTGCGTTCGGCGGTCTCTAACTCGTCTTTGCCCTCTACCCAACGCTGATGAACTGCAGGATCGTTGAAAGGATTCTTTCAACGGGCGGGATGATGTTGCGGCGCCTAGCGCCTTTCCAATAGCAAACCACAACTACATGTATGATTGCCAGTTTAACAATCAGGCGTCGCGGAGCATGTTAAAATTGCTAGAAGGGTAGCCATTCATTCTCTCAGCGTCCGCTCCACTGTTAACACCCTATTTTAATTATATGTTCTTTTATTGTAAAAAAAGGGCTTTTTATTGCTCCATTGTGTACCCAAATATACAAGCATATTTAATATAAAGTATTTCATAATTACTTTACATAAAATGTGTTTTAGTGTTTTTTTCCCTTCCCTCCCCCTTTTATATAATATATATCCCATAAAAAGGGGGTATTGTACCCCCGGTAGCTTCACAAGGCGGAACATAACGCAAGTTTTGTTTCACGCCGGCGTCTATGTCTGCAGTCGAGCCGGCTTATGAGGGTTCACTGAGTTGCTCACTAGATGGCGCACCGCAATAGGGTATTAGCAAGTGTCACACCGTTAGAAGTAGTGAACTGTCAACATTTGACAGCTGCTGTGATTGGACAAAAACAACTGGTAGTACTTGAGTACTTAACAATTGGGTAGTATCCTGGGTCAAAAATAAATTATTTTGATTTTTCATTCCAATTAAATATTGAAAAACAGAACTTTCATTCATTGATTGCCGATATACTTAATTTTCGATTTATTCTAGCAGTTTTTTAGATATAAGTGTGCTATTTGACACGAAAATATGATGACGTCATAAGTTGGAATTAAAGAAGAAGAATTTCATACAAAATTCATAGAACAGTATTGTTTTTGACGATTCGATAAAAGTATTGAATTTGACTAGTTGTCAACTACCGTATTGGTAGTCCCCATTCATACCGAATCCTGACTCTCCAACCTGACTGATGATCATATTTGAAGTGAAAAGGGCATCGCTGTGAAAAGAAAGTACAATATAGAAGTCCATACCTCCATCATCATTAAAATGGTCACGTGCAATGTGGTGATGAAAGGCGCCATGGTCCACGTCAACATCCACCGTTTCCTTAAATCTGGTCCGACCGTGAACGTGTCCCCTTGGGCGTCATACACAAGGACGTCGGATTGCACGCAGTACTCAACCGCATTTTTAAATTTCTGTAACAACAACATATTGAAAACCTCCTTTTATGAAGTCGGTCTAAAAAGGTTTATACCAGGTTTAAAAAGGTATATCTTTTAATCAGTTGTGTTATGAACCTCATGTAATAGTGGGTGAGCTTACTGCCATATTTCGGGCACGATTCCGTGCTAGAACGAGAGAGAAGTCTGAATAAAATCCAATGACGATCTGCCCGAACATACTCTCTTACTCTTTATCTCGCACACTGAGAAGATTTAGGCATTAACCAGCACTTGCTCAGTGCGGTTTGGCGATTTCAAACTTAAAATTAGAAATTATATTTTTCCTCTTTAATCTGTCAAACACCAAGCGGTCACCGGTGACCGCGACCTATTGTTCTTTAATTGTGTCTATAAAACCGGTACTCGACGAGTTAATCCAATTGGCTACTTTCCTTAATCAAAAATAAATTATTTCGACTGCTCAATACAACAAAATATAAAAAATAATCACACTTTCATTAATTTATTTTAGGTCCAATTTAATTTTAGTATTTTTTTAAGAAATAAGTATGCTGTTTGACGCCGGAAAACGTGACGTCACAATACACAATCTCGTACAAAATTTATAGAAAACTGTCGTTTTTGACAGTTCAAAGAAAGTATTGAATTTGACTAGTTGGCAGGTACCCAATTCTGATCAATCGACATTGAGATTACATCGATATTGAGATATTCCGTACTCTTGAATTGCAATACTAGCGCCACGTTACTGAAATGGCGTTTGGCTTTCTATTCCATACTCTGGGCATTATTTCAGCAGCTAAGATTGGAGTATTAGATTGACTTAAATTGATATTAAGATTAGTTTCGAGACATCATCAAGACATCATCGGTGTAAGCCTACAAGTTTCCTCACGATGGATAGATGGATGGATGAAGGAAGTTTGTAGGCGTATACATTATACTGATTTTTAGTCTACTTACATCTTTTACGTCTGATTCTAAGTAGAAAAACTCGTGACTAAGCATTTTCCTCAGATGCCTAACTCGTTCACTGTATACCCCTGAAAATCAAAATTAATAATTTCATTAATTGCTTCGACTATTTAAATATTTCATATTCCCAATTTTATAGCTAATTTCTAACAAAGAACACGCAAACGTATTTACGTAAAAAATGTGACATTATAAATTGGAAAGTTCCCTATTTGTAAGAGGCTTCAACAGAGAAATATATGTCAATACGTAGATAAACATATACTAACTTGTAGTTCGACCAGGATCGCAAAACACAGAAAGATAGGTGAGAGCAGCGGGCACTAGGTAGTGAACCACTGGGTTCACGTACAACTGGAGTTGGATCACTGACACCGCCGTCGCCATCGTCTCAGGCTGAAGTATTTGGCCTGTAATTATAATTATCACAAATAAACTTAACTATGTAACTACCACCTTTCGTAAGTTTACCGTCTTTTTTGTTGTCAGGCTTTACCTGAAGACAAAAGATTGCAACGTGTGAAATACGGAACCGAGATGTGGACATTGACATATGACAGCGTGATTGGTTCACCAATTGAAGGTCGTGCCGTGGGCTTTGGAGAGGGATCGATGTTCGGAATCTATTCGAAGAGAGAGGTGATCCGACAGAGAACTATAGTTATCATTGCCTAAAGGATTAATGGCAACGAGCATCTTCGACAAATGTGACGACGAGCCATATTTGTGCGCTTGTTGACAATTGTAATAAAAACTACGTCCGATTCCAAGGTTCTATATTGTATTAATTTCATCCGAATCGACAAGATCTCCGTATTAGCAAGGGATACAATTACAATTTCGTGCCGCGGAACGACCGTGAGGTACATATATTGAAATAAGTCGTCGTCCGAAATTCAACAGACACAGTTGTGTTACTTTTATCGCAGTAACGCGGGCGAAGTCGCTGGCACACGCTAGCGAGCTCATATGATATTAGAAATTCAATTCAAAAATATTATAATCAGATTACAAACTCCATTGACATACAATTTGACGTTGTATGGCCTTAGGAATGACGAGTTTTTGAACGAGCAACTGACCTAAACTGATATAAGATTGCATAATCATCAGTATCGCAACTATCTGCTAGTTATGTTATCTAAAGATTACAAGCTCATAATATTAATCTGCATATCACCTGGTAGGCTCGGCGTATCAACCAAAATTTTATATATAAGCTTAGTAGACTTTGTATGTTGATAAGGGGCATTACATTTTTACTTTGTATTTCTTCTCTGTCGTAATTCGTGAACCAAGTGTTGATTTTGACCAGAGGGCCAAGCACGAATAACTATCGCATTCGTATCGTAACAGTATCGAGCGAGTTAAGCGTTCTGATTGGTTGGTTCACTTGAGCCGGCCAATCAGAGCGCCGAACGCGCTCGATACTATTACGTTACGAATGCGATAGTTATTCGTGCTTGGCACTGAGTTCTGCAAATGTCTATGTAGTAAGTACGTATTGTTGTCAAAAGTAGGACAGTTCTAGGGTTTGGGTGTATCAGAAGATGCTGCTGCCGTCTTTGTCAAATGTGTCCCTGGTACCGCTCTTACGAAAATCGCGGAAAAGTAAGAATAGTGAACTAATGGGTAACAAATGTATTGATTTGGACACACGACTATGCAGGGAATACATCTGGCAAAATGAAATTGCGGCCCAACCATACTCCGACATTATTTCAACTTGCAGTTAGACGTAACATTGTATAATAATAATCGTTTGTACGCTAACAACAAAGTAAATATTTATTGTGCGAACGAATACATTACTCAGTACATAGGTGGTATGTTTACTTCCAATAAAATCTCCATATTACTTGTAAACACAATGTATTTTATTTCCTTGGCATAAACTGATTGCCAATCGTCCTTACTAATATTATAAATCGGAAAGTGAGTTTGTTTGTTTGTTCCGCTTTCACGCCGTAACTACTAAACCGATTGCTTTGAATTTTTACAGACGTAAAGTTAGAAGTCCGGATTAAATACTTTTTATCCTGGAAAAATGTGATATTCCCGAGGGAAAACAAATGTATTGGTATAGATGGCGCTGTGTGTATAAATATATGTCACATAGGCTACTTTTTATCCTTTTGAGACGCGAGCGAAGCCGCGGGTAAAAGCTAGTTTGGTAATAAATTGTAATAGCTAGCTACTCCTGTACAATGTCGCTACTCGGCTCCTACTAATCGTAGCGTGATGTGTTATAGCCTTAACTCGATAAACGGATATATTCAACCAGTGGCGTAACTACAGGGTCGCAAGTCGGGAACTGGAAGGGGCCCCGTTTAACGGTTTCTCATCTGAACACCTTTCTTTCATTGAAGTGAGGGCCACCAGATGAATTTCCCACGAGGCTCGAACGGTGAATTTACGTCACTGTAGGTATTCAATACAAAAATATGCTTTATAATAATAAGTATAGATTTGACTGTACTTACTATAAATATTCAGTAACGAAAGACTTTACCGAGAGCTTGGCATCTCAAGCGTAAAATAGGAAATTAAAGAGAAAGTCACAACATATAAAGACAGACTGCATCTGCTCCCTAACATGCTGGCACACCACCTTATGGACGATATACATCCAAGCGCAAGGAGACTTAAGAAAAGAGTGCCTCAAGATTTAATTCAATTTATAACAGAGGGTCTCTGTCTCTAGATTACTGGATGTCTCTGGACCTGTACCTCATGTATCTTATATCATTCATTACATAAGTATTGTTGAATGTCTCCCAGATAGATAGTAAGAACAAGAGGAAAAAAATCATAGATATATTACTAGTGTTTCAAGCATCACCATGTTCCCTTTTTCCGATTCAATAATGTTATTCTAATCGTCACAGTGGGGTATTGAGATTATGGTGAAGTGATAGCAAATAAGGGACATTTAACAGAAGCAACAGCCTTCTCTAATGAACCTGAACCTTTTGAACTGGGATCTTTATCCTATCTATATGTCGAGGAGAACCTAACGGGTTACCGGGGCTCCGGCTCGAAGCGCAGGAGAGGGAACGGGTGGTTTTTAGTCATTAAGAGTCTGACACTGAGATTCGATGATTTTCCCCCCTTAAAAAAATAAATAAAAAATCTTTATAATTATGGCGAACTCCCTGTTGTAGAGGTGGCCTTCTGTAATAGTGCCCTAAGTTATCAATGACCAAAGATGATGATCGTTAATGAGAGAATATGTAGGTATACGTTATGTATTTCATTTTGGTCACAGACGCTGAATTTAAATTGGAAATTATTGTCATTGATTGGACCAGTCTCCTTTTTATTACAATGAATGGTTCCTCTTAACAGGAAATATATGAACAATGACCTACATATATATTTATAGGTGTGTACTATATTATAATCTACACCATTTTATCAAGTTGCAGGAACTCGATAAGGGATTTTTACTTGCATTGTAAAGAACTTAAAGAGTAAAAACCCGTTGAATCAGTATCGTAGTTCCATATATTTTTATTACGATTAGTTTTAACTGCGTGTTTATTAACGAAAAAAAAAACAATATTACATAGTAAAACACTCACATTCAGGTACAATTTGCGGACGCTGTATAAACTAAAACTGGAAAATACTCGCAAACATGCAAAGGCCTTTTAGGTAACTTACCCTTAATTTTATTTTTGACTTCATCCGATATCTCCGTCGGGTTTCCAATGACCAGTTTCAGCCGTTTCTCGTGATCCAACTTCATTATCTTCTGATGCACCACAAGGATCCTTTCGATGGCGCCTTTTATATCCATAAACACTGGAGCTCCAAACAACCCTAATTCATCAATAAACCATTCGACTTCTGCATACACTTCATCAATCCTCAAAACTCTATTAACTGAAAGGCTCTGCATCAAAACGAGGGCCACAAGATTGGAGATGGTTATTATCGTGTTCTTCTGTTGCATACTTATGACATAGTCTGCAAGCAACTGCACTTGTTTGAACTGTTCCGGTGTGACCGCCTGCAAATCCATGGGCTTAGACGTCTCTGGAGAATTTAATACTTGGGAATAGCGGTTAAAGAATTCCCTGGCAGAAATTGGTTCGCCAACGTTGAGGTAGATGTTGCCAAAATGATCGTTCAAATTGTGCAGCGCTCTAAGGAAGCCCTGAAACAAAGAATTTTTAATTAGTTTTGGATCTAGATAGTAAAATATACAAGTGGAATTGTTACCAGGCTTGGACTTTTAAGGGGTAGCTTGGAAGATGCTAGTATTAAAATATAGTTTGTAATAGAATATTGTTTTGACAAATATCTTTATATTTGTTAACAATATTCTTTACTGGACAATATACTGCAGTACTTATTTAACTATGGTTAGAACTTATTGAACTAAGCAAGATGTACTGAGTATTTATAATTATAACAGGTCAAATCTTGCTAAGTAATTACTATGTCTTATAATAATGCATAGAGAACATGTACTACATCATGGAAGCAGTGCCTTTAGCCAAACGACACTTTAGCGCTTGTCTACCGAGAGAGTACAAAACTGAATGTATGGGGATGACATTAACAAGTCAAAATTTACGTCAATCCCATATAATTTAGTTTTCTACTCTACAAGTAGACAGCGCTAAATGGCATTTGGCTACAGCTGCTGGTCTCCTATTAAATGGGTGTGGTTAAACGTCATTCACGGATATGTTCTACCTTCTACGTTTAGTCTAGTGTGTATATTCTTATGTGCGTGTGTGAGTGTGTCCGTGAGAACACTAAGATAGTGAGGTGATAAAATTAAAATTTGCATAATCTGTTGGAGGTAAGCTAATCGATACAATAGTATCGATAAGACGATTACTCGATAAAATGTGACGCAGTGATTAAACATACTGTCTATTTTTGTAATGTAGTTAATTAGTTTCTCGACAGTGAGTTTCTACACACAAAAAGGAAGTTCCCATGGAAACTTGGGGTATCTTCTCCTTCTGTAAGTGCGAAGATTTGCTGCCTAAGGGACGAATACGCCAAGTTTCATCTTCCGACATCTATTATTTTTGACTGTACCTGTCAGTCCGTCAATCAGTAATGGCAGAGTTTTATACGTATTGGCTAATATATACAAGAGAGTTAGGTTCATAGGTAGAGTGGAATAAATGTTAATTCCCAAAGTCGTTAATACCAAATTGTTTCGAACATAACGATGACCTCAAATCCTCAAACATTGACAATGACATGAATAAGTTATGTGAAGACTATAGTTACAATCAATTATCATGTAAAATGTTTGGTACATTATTATCATTACGTTCTTGGTTAGCGGTTATTACCCTTATGCCATTAGTGACAAGGTTGCAAATTGTATGTTATAAAAAATTCGATCTTTACCTTGAAACCCTTAGATTGACAGTGAATATGCGTAAATACGTATAACCAAGGTATAACTTAATGTTAAATAAATATAAAAAAGATGTTGATACTGTCAATTTTCCGAGAGACTTATTTTCGAATATTTACTAGAATGCGAAAGGGATACATAGAAAACCGAGAAATATGGTAAATAAACAAGCAGGTCTATTATACCTTGCATAGGGTGATCCAGGGTTGAAATGGTGCTAAGGAACCGTATTGGCATACGATACGACAATTGGGTACTTGCCAACTAATCAAATTCAATACTTATTTCGAACTCTCAAAAACGACAGTTCCGAGATAGTATATGGTGACGTCACGTTTTTTTAGCGTCAAACAGAATGGTAAAATACTAAAATAAAGTTCGTCATAAAATCAATTAATGAAATTGTGATTTTTTTTTTTTATATCTTATTGTATTGAACAGTCTAAATAATTCATTTTTGATGACGGCAAGTACCCAGTTGTCTCCTTCATTAACCTCTTATCGAACTCTGTTCCTATCTTTTATGTTATTTTAAACCATGATCATTTTACTGCAGACGAAAGATCTATCCTCCTTTTAGTCTTCTCTGCGCAAACCTTTCTACTTCTGTTGGCCTAGACACCTCTGTTGTTATTTAAAATTCAACAGTGGAACGGCAGACGGGCTTACAACAACCATTAGAATAAGCATACAAGAGCAAAGGTTAAATAAGTAATCAAGGAAATGTACCTAATGAATTATTATTGTTTATCTTTTACATTTATTATTACATCTATTGTTCAAGATAATTATGTTCAACGATTGTTTAATTTGTTGCTATAGGTACTGTAATTATATTTATAGTTTCAATGATATTTGATAATTGTATTTGGTTCGGTTATTTTAATGTTTTCAACAACTAGTTAGATACAACCTGATAAGTTGGAAAAGCATTCTCGGTTTTTGAGTCAGGCAAAAGTAGTATAGTGTTTGTCTAGTTCAAACATCTCATATTTGATTTACGATAATCCCACGTAAGTGTTTGAAAATGTACCCGACTAGTATCCAGACATACTAGGGGCCCATAGTCTTGAGCAGCATTGCGCGACGTACGAATAAAATAACTATAAAAAGTTCCAAACTTGCTATTAATCTTTAGCATATCTTTTTTTTTAAACTGTCAAACACCGAGCGGACACCGGTGACCGCAACCTATTGTTCTTTAATTGTGTCTATAAATACGGTACTCGACGAGTTTTTTAATCGATAGAGTGATTCTTCAGGACGGTTTATATGTATAATACAGTTCATAAAAGGCGTGGTGTTTCTAAGTATGTTTTTATACTTCGAAATGTTACACTAACAATTAGATATGTGTGTCATAGGGTCGACAAAGTATTCCGAACGCATTGCACAAGCAAACAGGTTCCTAGCATACATTTACGTAAAACATTCTTCAAGGCAAATATTACTATATTGACATTCGTTTCAATCCTTCAATCGTATGATGTGAAGGATACAAGGTACAAATTCGTGTAGCAGAGGTTTCGTTGGTAAAGTGGTCGCCAGTGTAGTTGCGAAGAAAGGAGTCTGAGTTTTGATAACTGGATCTGGCAATGTAGGTACATTTTATTGGGGTTTTAAATAATAGTGGTGTATAAAATTGTGTCAATCACGCTGAAACTAGTGAACGGATTTTGATGATATTTGGTATACAGGCAGGGTATGGGGCTGACTTGGTGATAGATACTTTTTATCCCGATTACATATTCCCATGGGATAAAACAGAAATCATATTATACGCGGACGAAGTCGCAGGTAACAGCCAGTCTATTTATATGTTAATGTACACCATTATAATAACAGACCATAATTAATTACAACTTATTAAAAGTAAGTATGAGGTACCCTTCTTTAGTTGCTTGCTAAGGCAGCATTTTTGGTAACCATGGATTTATTAACACTGAAATTAATTAACCTTGTCTTTAAAAATAACTAAGTTTTAAAAATTGTTCTTTTTTTTTATTCAATCTCAATTGCTATTGTGCAGGCATTCCCAGACAAAAGTGAACAAAATTATTATGTTCATAAAAACGCTTATTGTATATTTTTAAAACTACGTCTTCATGTAAATTAATTAAGTATTATTTTTAGCAATACTATAAAATTTGTTCAGAGTGTTAAATGTGGAAAGCGTTTGTAAATGCGTCCAAAATATAGAATAACATCGTACTGCTTTTTTTGGGGTCTGACTTCTTCCGTCTTTGTCGTTCGCTCCTACCTTTGCACTTTGAGCCGGAGCCCCGGCAACCCGTTGAGTCCTCCGCGGTTCCGTATCGGCCATCAGTCCTACTGAGCCCCATCTGCGGCGGTGGTCTGAGGGCTCTTTGAGGCGAGCGCGGAAAGCGACGCGCCCTACGCTCGGGTCCGGTTCAGAGGACTTAGTACAAGTTTCGTTTACGTTTAAAATAATCGAAAGGAGTACGCGTTCGGCGTTCTGATTGATTGGCTCCAATGAACCAACCAATCAAACCGCCCAACGCGGTCTCGTTTCGATTATTTTAAACGTAAAACAAACTCGTACTAAGCCCTCTGATCGGGCGACGAATTACCCGTGCTCGCCGTGCACCAGCCCGTACTTACGGTGGCCGGAGATCGTCAAAGATAAAAAAAATACGTATATGTTGTACACATAAACAGCTACACATGAAGCTATGCAAAACCGCCCGTAATTTGACCATTGAATATGCGTAAAGATCATAGAAATGTACCATGTAAGTCTGTGTACACACTATCTGCCGATATAAACGTATTAATTGCAAATATAAAATGTGATAGATAAAATACATTTTTTTAAATACTCAGCATGATAGCGATTTTTGCGATTCGATTGCGGTTATCTTTTGCGGAAACATAGCGAAAATATTTGAAAAATATTACGTTATTCCGTACGAAGTATGTAACTATTAAAAGAAGAAGTAAATATTACAATTTACACAATATTGCCTAATGTATTTTTTTTAAGGGGGAAAACCATCGAATAATTGTTCCCGCCTGGGTGAGGTTATTGTCAACCGAAGTCCACACTCCGAAACACCAAAAAAAGAATCAATAACACCTTGCCTAACTCGGGAATCTAACCCGCAACTAGTAGATCCACAGTCGCACTTACGGTGACGTCACAATGACATTCATTCTTTGCTAATGAGCTTTAAACGCCTGTAAACGATCTCAGCAGATTTACAATGTGTAAAACTATATACCTAGCCATTACTAGCCTGCCCTAGTTACATTATTAGCTGGAATTCACAGAAGTGGGGCTCACAGCGACTAGACCGGAACAACCAATGATGTAATTTCAGAGCAAGTTCACATTACATGTTCGTCTGTGATTGGTTAGAGTGATAGTAAGGTGTACTAATGTCTATTCAATCGACTTAAAAAAAAGGAGGAGGTTCTCAATTTGAATATATTTTTTATTTTATTTTATATAATGTCTTTAACCCGTGGTATGAACGCAGATCTACGCGAGACATACATAATGTGTTTTCTATTGTGTCTAATATATCTACTGACATACCAGCGGTTAATGAAATGAATTTAGGGCATAAAACATAACATAACATTTCGCCTTTTATCCCCAAAGTGTCAGAGGTGCACATTACGGCATTTAATGCCACTGTACACACTCTCTTTTCACATTCACTTTTCACTATTGCCATATACTGGGCCGACAATTCCAAACTCCGTGCTACTACTGATATTTTTTAATTAAACATCAGTAATACCTA